TTTTTCTTTTTTTTTTTTCTTTTTTCAAGAAAGTTAGTCAAGTAAGTAAATGTAAGTAAATATAACTACCAACTCTGTTAGTTCTTTGTTCTTCACAAACAAAAATGGAGTGGTGTCTCATATGTTAGCAGTTGGGGGAGCTCAATTTTATCTCTGACAAAAAGTCATTTCTATGCAGCTACAGCCCAGCAGGGGGCACTACACAGTTGTATAAATTGCTTGTTCACACTTTTTCTTGTCTTTTCTCTTTTTTTGATTAATGGATGTTTTACAAATATTGTACTTTGTATAAAACTCATGGGCCCAAATTATATGAGTTGTATTCATATTTTTTTAAAATTAAATTTTATGATTATAAACAATATTCAAGTGTTTGAAAATTCTGAAGTTGTAGTCGATTTCTTTTGGAACAATGTGGAGTTAGGGGATATAAAAAACCTACCATACACCAATTCATACTTGCTAATGTATGGCACTACATATTAAAATACTGTAATTTGCATTAGTAAAATAGTATTTTATAGTAGAGCCCTATCTACTGGCCCTGGGACCCACAACCTTGTAAATCAGAGCCAAACTTCCCAACAAAAGCAGAAAATTTATTAACGCTTAATATATAAAACTTTTTCTATTAATAAGATATGAAAATTTGGACAGAAATGGAAAAAATATTTTTTCATTAAAGATTCAGGTTTTCTGGTAACATTTTTCACTTTAAAGTTTTAATTTTAGTACACCAAACTGAATTCATTGTAAGAAGAACCCCAGAAGAATTTATTTAAAAAATGCTAATAAAATATGATTTTTACTGAAATTAAAAAACATAAACTTCTTTATTTACATAAAATGTTGTTAGTTGTTCACATAAGTCATTTCAGATCCTATAAAATAATTTATTTTGAACATAAATTTTGCAATCGCATCACTTGCCCTGAAGTTTCACATCACATAAAACAGTTTTTAAATAAATAAGACACCAGACTTTCATGATGACCTCTTGGTGCACTTTTTTAATTAACTTCAGGTCCTCAGTTATTGGTACACAGTTATCAATCCAAACAGGATGGCTAGTTACACATCACAAACACAGAAACGCTAACATAAACAACACCTGCTTCCAAACAGAGAGCAGCTTGTGCATTTCAAAAGAGACAGCCTGCAGGTTTCCACGTTTCATATCAACTTATGATAATAGCAGGTGCTGCAGTGACACTCTGTGTGGTTTCTCACTGGGATGGTGCCTTGCATCATCTGCAAGAAGGAAACAATGAGCAGGAATGAATAAGAAATAGATTAATTGTGTGCTTTATTTATTTTTTAAGCTGAATTTTATGAAAAATCAGCAACAGTACATAGAAGTAGACAAAAAACATATAAAAAGTTATCAAATGGTGATGTTTAGCATTTGATAGTTAAATCTTAGCTACATTTGCTATAAAACATTTACATTTGATAGCTAACGTTTGATAGGTATCAAACACATAGCTATAAATATAAGAATTGATAGATATGTTAGCTACCAAAGCTATGCTATCAAATGCTAACGTTTGATAGTGAATGTTAGCTAACACATTGTGGTCCATATTTGACACTGTCAAATATGAATGAAAGAAATAACAAAAATGCCTTTTTGTATAAAATATAGAGAACAACATAATTTATGATATAAACATATATGAAATACAGCTTAAGCACACATAAAATAGATTTCATTGTTAAAGTGTTGTATTAATATATTGTTACAATTAATACAACATTTTCCTAAGACATAGTGCTGTAAAAAAAAAAACACATAAAAAACACAAAATCGCACCAAGTATTTTTTATAGTTTCTAGGGCAAACATCTAGTTCACTTGAAATAAGACAAAATTAACTCATAGGTATTATTTCAGCATGATATAGGAGCTTTTTTTAAGTAAATAATAAATATTGATGAAAACGTGTTAGTTGTAAGTTAAATAATCTGCTAGAGGAAAGAAAGATTATTTAACATTTTCTTCAACATTTAATAATTATTGACAAAAACCAAATTTCTATATAATGCTGAGAAATTATTACTATTATAAAATGTAACTCATTATTAAGTTCACTGCAAAAACACAACAATCTTACCAAGTATTTTGGTCTAGTTTCTAGTACAAATCAATCAATCAAGTTTATTTCCATCCATCCATTTTCTAACATCTTGTTCTTAGTGGGGTCAGGAGGTGCTGCTGCCTTTCCAGCTAACGTTCTGGTTGAGAGGCGGGGTCACCTGGACAGGTCGCCAGTCTGTCGCATCAAGTTTGTTTGTGTAACACGTTTCAGTTCAAAGTGCTTTACATCATAAAACACAAAAAATACAAAGTTAAAGAACACAGTCAGCAATTGTCAAGTGCCATTTTTACACATTAAAATGTTGATTAATGTTTCATTTATAATTTTTCAAATATCTTAGTACATTTGAAATAAGACAAAACTAAGTAATTTTTATTATGTTTTAGATATAGATATGTTTTACGGTCATTTTTAGCTTTCCCATTATATAATAATAATAATAATAATGATAATATACTGTATAATGCTATACAATATATATATATATATATATATATATATATATTGTATAGCATTATAACATTATTATATATTATTATTATATATTAATTGACATTTTGATGTGTAAAAATGGCACTTGACAATTGTTGACTGTGTTCTTTAACTTTGTATATTGTTGACTGTGTTCTTTAACTTTGTATATATATATATATTATAGAAGTATGTATAAAATAAACATTTCCATAATAATTGCTTTCAAGTGTGCTAAGTTATTTGCACTAGGAATTAGACCAAAAGTACTTGGTATGTTTTTGTGTTTTTGCAGTGAACACTTTATGCATCTAGTTTAATTAAATTAATTATTTTTTACCTCGTAGCTGTGCTTTGCAACGCAGCACGATGCCTCTGAGGTGATGTTCTTGGGGACCGACATCGTCTGCATTTTCATCTGCGGCGTCGGGTACGCCCGGGAGAAGCAGCAGCCCTTGCACTGGTAGATCTGTGCATGGTCCTTTGAAAGAAAGTCGTTCAGGACCAGGCTGCATTTTCCACAGCCCACTGCAAAACCAAACAGACACTGTGAAACACTCCAGGGTGGGTTTGAAAATTCAAAGAAAAAGCATTGTTTCCAGTTAGAATTTAAAGTTAAAAAATGTGATTTAACAGCAAATGTTAATTTGTTTAAACATTGTTTTAATGTTCTGACGCTTTATTAATCTTCAATTATGAGCTATAACTTTATTTCAAATAATTATTCACATCATGCCAGGAATCTGCCCTCACCTAGTTGAACGAGAACACACTGCAGCATTATTTTCACTCATGTTATCCAGTTGAAATAAATACTTTTTACTACAATTTAAATTCATGATTCAATTTGCACAAACAAAATATATTTTAATGCATTTTATTAAAAATGACACTAAATTCTTTTGAACAGAGCTTAAGCAATGTGAGAAGATATTTCCCTTAACGATTTGGTCAGTTGGATAAAAATTTAAAAAAGAGCCAGATAAACTTAACACAAAATTAACACAAGATACAAAAGCATGCAGCTAAGCATCCTGGGAAATAACCCTAACCCTAACCCTATCCCTAATTGCTGCATTAAAAACTATAATATTCACGTGGAGTTATGACAAAAATAATAAAACCTTAACAAAGCTTACTACTGTAAGTTTATGTTGTATAAACTCACATATTTAAGTTCAAAATCTAAAACTTGAAAGATTTATTTGACTTAAAGTGTAAAAGTTAGTAGATACAATTAAATGAGGCTCAAATGGTTTTACAGTGTAGAAAAGCAGTGAAGGAGTGAAAAACACTTCAAAAACACAAAACCTACCAAGTATTTTTAGTCTAGTTTAGTGGAAATATGTCAGTACACTTGCAATGAGACAAAAACAATTTATAAGCAACTTTTTGGCTGATTTGGAGCATTAGTCCTCAATATAAAGGATATAAACAAGATATAGAAGCTTGTTTTAAGTTAATAATTCCTTAATATTGATGAAAAAAGTACAAATTATTTCACTTATAACATGGGAAAATCAATATTAAGGAATTATTGACTTAAACAAGCTCCTATATCTTCCTGAAAAGTTATATGTAAGTTAGTTTAGTCTTAATTCAATTGTACTAAGATATTTGCACTACAAATTAAACCAAAGGTACTTGGTAAGGTTTTGTATTTTTTTTGATCGTTTTAAATAGTCTCCTTTGTTCTTTAATTTTTAGCTGAAACTCAAATAATGTTATAAATTCTTATGTTTTTAACTAACAGCTTGTTTGCTTGTAGCTTGTTTCTAAGCTTAAAAAAATTCATTGAATTTTAAATTGAAAAATGTTTTAAATTTTTTTTGCTAACAAACCACCCTTACTCCTTGAAGAGTCGAACTTGGGATAAGAATCAGCTACGTTCAGAAGAAAAGACAACAGAAGAAGAGTCACTGCAGCCGACTTCATGCAGCCCATAGTCGTAACAGCAGACACCTGTAACACGGAGACAAAAAGACATATTTATTAAAGAATATGTTCGGTTTTAGGGAAATAAAATAGAAAGATGCAGGCTGTTACCATGTTGCGATAAAGCTTGTCTTCATTCCGCTTCTTTTCAAGACTCCTTTATATTGAGGACTAACCACCAAATCAGTGGCTAATTTTATACCTGGCTACTTCCTGGATTAGGTGATACCTGCCAACCTTATCGCTGATCTCTGTGATTCACTGTTTACTTTACCTCCTTTCCTCTAATCCATCTAGAGCCCAGAAAGATTGGAACAAGTTGTGGAAACTCATAATATACTTCCCCCATCCCGGCAATGGTCGTTCTGTTTAATCCCTGGATTTTTGTTACCTGGTTACCCAAGGTTGCTGTCGTCCATCAGATCAGGACAGAAAAATTCACATTAATTAGGGCTTTTGTCCAACCATAAACCACTTACAGAGTTATTTTACCAATAAAGAAGGCGTTTTTTATCGGAGTAACATGAAGTTTTATGCCTGTAAGTATTGTGTTTTTAGGTTAAATGAACTTTTACTCATGAGTCACATCCACTGAAACATGGAGTGGGCAGCAGATTGAGCTCAACATGTGGCTGGAATCAGACAACCTTCCGATTGCAAGATAACGATTACTTCCAAATTTAATGCTAATGGCATCATTTTGAAAAATATCAAGTTATTATGATATTATGAGGCAAGTTATTATGACGGCGTTTCAGGGCCTTTGTAGACTGAAAAAATAAAAAGGTGGAGTAAATTTCTGCCAAAAAGCTCTGCAATGTTGAGATTAACCAGAGAAATTTTCTAGAAAAAAATGAGAAATGTCTAAGCTCCAAAAGTCTAAAATGTGAAATCTCAGAAAATTTGAAATTATTATGAGAAATCTTCTAGAAAAAAAACAAGAACATTTTGGCACTCCAAAAGTTGAAAATTTTGAAGCAAAAAACTCTGAAATTTCCAAGAAAAAAATTCCTGAGGTCCAAAAGTGAAACATTTTTGAGAAAAACAACTCAGACATTTTAGATAAATTGCAAAATTTTTCTGGAAAACACTTGGGAATTTCTGAAATGGACGGTGATTGACAGCGCTAAGACCCGCCTCCTGACTCTAATTGGTTGTTTCTAGATATCGCCATGTTTTCATTTGTCACAAGTTTTAATATGTTTTAGATGGAGATTCATCTGTGAAGCCACTTCATCAAAAATGATCCACTTTCAGAGCAGTGCAGCTCTTATTAGCTATTTTTTGGCATTTATATAAACACATTAAACTGCACCATAAGTGAGTTCATTTTCATGTCCACATCAATTTTTTACACAAACAAGAGATGTAATACTTCATAATAAAATTAGTTAAGTTAAAATAAAAAGCACAGTGTAGTAAAAAATACCTCTAAAAGTCAATATTTTCATAAAAGTCACTTAAAAGTCATCTGCCACGACCAACTTGGGTTTTGAGAAGACAATAACTGATGTAAGATTATTTCCTGCTAATGAAAAGCAAGAAAAAACTGTGTTGTTGTAAGTGAATTAATCTGCCAGTGAAACTATTACTTTTTCATCAACTCTAAGAAATTATTGACTCTAAAAACATTCCTATATGTCGCTGAAAAGTAACTTGTAAGCTAGTTTTGTTTAATTTCAAGTGTACTGAGATATTTCCATTGGAAACTAAAAACTACTTTGTAAGAGTTTGTGTTTTTGCAGTGTTCTCTTTGTATTTTTTCCTGTTCTTAGGATGATTTCATTGAATATCCAGGATGGATTCCATGAATAAACCCGCAGGAATTTGATATCTGATAAGGAGTTTCCATTTGTCCACCCGCGATCTCTGAAAATGTCAAGGATGAATAATTTATTTTAGGTTTAATTTGCGAGTTCCCTTAAGTGCCCATGTTCCTGTCCTTGGTTGTTTTGGTGATAAATCCTCCCTCAAGCGGTGAATACAAGAGACAACACTGTAAAATAATAATTTGTCATTTTGTAGCCTTATGCTTTTTTAAAATAGCACTCAGACAGTTTTTTTTCCTCTTTTCTTTCAAAGCTTAAAAAATGCCTGAAATAGCAAACAGAAATGATAGTTTAAACAGAATCATAATAATTAAAACACAAACCTTTAATATTCTGGATCTTTAATGTTTGTTCATTTAACAAACTTTAATTGAGGATTAATTTAAAGTTCATTGGAAAGTAAATCTCCTTCTGATTGGACAGAAGCCCATCTTGATTGTGGGTGTGGCTTAACTTCTTCTGATGTTGCCTTGGTTTCATGTTCACCTCGAAGCAGGAGTGTCTAAAGTGCGGCCTGGGGGCCATTTGTTGCCCGTGGACTGACTTTGTGCGGCCCCCAACTGCAATTCAAAAGTGATACAAATTTGTCTCGTAGATTCAGATGGAGAAAAATTGTCACCAACATAATTTTCTTACACAGGAAAATGTAAAGTACAAGACAAAGTATTCATGTTTTTATAACCAAATTTTAACAAAAGTAAAACCAGTAAAATCCAAAGAATTTTACTGGAAAGCCAACTTTGCTGCAACCAAATCAGCTTTTATTCTTTCTTAAACTTGGCTAAATATAGCAAGCATTTTGAAATAAGGTGGCACAAATTACTGAAAATAAATGTATTGAATCAAGCCCAAAATAAACTGAAAACTAGATGATTTTGTTGTATTACAGCAAACATGCTAAATTAAAGAGGTAGTAGTGGCCTATACAAGACATTTTCATGACATTTTTTGTACAAAATATTCTCATACAATGAGATTTTAGTCTGCTCAGTTCTGCCTATTTTGACCCGTTTTATCGCCTCTTGTCACTTTAAATCCAAATAATCAGCTCTATGTTTACACACGCACGTGAAAATGGCTGCCAATAGATGTACAATTATACAAACGTACAGCTTTGAAAAGCAGAAGTGGAGCTTCCTGCACAACAAGCAAGAATGCAGCAAGCGGTTTCTGGATGGTAAGTCAACAACAAAACACTTTTTATATTTTCCAGCAGCCATTTTAAAGCGCATGCAGCGGTAAAATAAGCTGACCAAACATAATGGAGCTCAGCTTAGGTTGCTGGGTAATGGGCTAAACTCTACTGGGGTTGCTAGATAACAGAGACCAAATCTGACTTAATCAGGAAATTTTTGAAATGGCTCATTTTCCAGACACCAAAAAATATTAACTTATTGCCAAAAAAATGGCTGTGTATTTTTTTATAAGCGTTTGTACAAAAACGTGAAAATTTTTGTCTAACAAGCAAACTGGCAACAACAGAACAAAGTAGCAATCCAGTGTCTATACAATGAATAACTGTTTTAAATCCACACATTCATAACCAAATGTGAAAAATAATAAATAAGTTAAAAGAGAAAAGGCATCTTTAAGTCTATTCTTTGAGCTACAGGGAGCCGGTGTAGCGACTGGCGATGTGCTCTATTTTCCTGGTTTTAGTCAGAACGCCAGCAGCAGCATTCTGGATCAGCTGCAGCTTTCTCCTTAGACAGATCTGTGAAGACACTGTTGCAGTAATCAATGCAACTAAACATAAATGGATGAGTTTCTCTAGATCTTTCTGGAACATATTCCTTTAATCCTGGAAATGTTCTTCCAGTGATAGAAGGCTGACTTTGTAACTGCCTTTATGTGGCTCTGAATGTTCAGGTCAGAGTCTGTCATTAATATGGAACATTTCTTGTTGAATTGTACCTAATAAAGTGGCCAGTGAGTCAAAATTACAAATTACTGGACTCAGTTTCAGTCTGTAGAACTGAGTTCATGCCAAAAATAATCTGCAAGAAAAATATGTACTTCCTGTTACCTTAGTTTTTTTTCATTTGTTATTTTTCTTCTTGTAATCTTTTAATTGCTAAATGTCAAATCCAAACTATTGTCTATTGATGCATCAAAATGTGTTCAATACAACTTCCATCGATTTTCTAACACCTTGTCCCCTGGGGTCGGGAGATGCTGGTGCCTTTCTAGCTAACGAGAGGCGGGGTCACCCTGGACAGGTCGCCAGTCTGTCGCAGGCTCAATACAACTTGAGTTTGAAAAATATTTATTCAAAACTTAAATAAATTGAATAGAAAATATAAAATTATATTTGATATATTAGATCGTTCTGTCCCTGCTTGGGAAAAGTTTTTTTTTTAAATTATTTTTCAAGTATTTCTGGATTTCTTTTTCACCTATTTATTATTATAAATTTTATAATTTACTTTTTCTGGTTTCCTAACAGTGGATGAAAGAGAGCCAGACAGTTTCACCACACGGTGGCATGAAAGACCTGTTACAGGTTCAGTCCTTACAGGTCCATAAAGTCCAGAGGTCATGAGAGCAGCTTGGAGTAAAAGTCAAGATTCAGGATAATTAAGAAATTACACTTCTTAACAATAATTTTAATGTTAAAACATGAGAAATGTGTAAAAGTGTGTTCATCTCATGAACACACTTTGTTAGACACTCCTGCTATGTACTAAATATTTTTGCAGCATATTTACTGACTGACTTATTCTGGTAGAGGACCTGAGCTCAGAGGATGAAAGAGACCACCCGCAGAGGGTGAGAAGGGAATTTTTCACATATAGGTGTGTGTCTGTTTGGTACAATTTTGGTAAAAAATTATAATAATAGAGTAGAAAAGAATAAAATAGAATAGCATCTTTAATATCATTGTAACAATAAACATTGTACAATGAAATCTGGGTGCAATTCTCCAGATAAAACAATGTCTTACTTTAAAAAAAAGACTATAAATAATTACTTATCATATAGCAATCAGCAAATTATAAAACATTAATTGAAAACTAAAACAGACATAAAAACAGACATGGTCAAAATGACCACATAGCAGTAAATCAACATGGTGATGGCTGATGGGTAAGAAATGTCTCTTGGTCATAATAATATGACTAAAATAAAAGTATGGTGCAGGGAAACTATTCCTAAAACTATCTTTTTTTGTCAAAATATTACATAAGTAAATGTAACTAAATATATGCCATCTAATATTAATTGCAAAAAGTTTAGAAAACCATGTTTAATTTTCCTTTCACAATACAATTATGGCATATTCTTTGCTGTTCTATGAACATGGGCGGTTCTATACAGGGGCCACCAAGGGCTGTACCCTTGTTTAACTGTTCCTGGTCTCTGTTATAACACCTGTGCATAACAGATTACACTGAA